GGGGGCACATCCCTGTCCGCACAAGGGCACACATTGGCGCCAACACCAGGCGCGTAACAGGGGTCTTGGGTCAGAGTGGGTATTTATTTTCCCGGTTAGTAATTTACCATACCCACCCCACCCCACCCCACTGCCCATGTAAAAAACAATACGACATAAGGCTTATCTTATTTATAATATAGGCCACACAAGTGTGTTTGAAACTAAATATAAGCATTTTCATCATGGTTTTATTTATTACAAACATATTCTTTCACCATCAATACATATTGAGGCCCTTCTTTTTGGTTAAAACGATCTATCTTAAATTTGTCTTTCTTGAGTTTGGGACTATTATTAGGCTTATGTGTTTAAAAGAGAACTAGCAAAATGATTTTTTGTTCTAGAGGAGATTTTTGATATGCCATTAATAATAGAATCAACATTAAAATCGTTTTTTGGCAATTGTTTATGAAGTTATAGGCCACTATATACGATTTTACCGTGACGTCACTGGCGAAAAAGTAATAAAAAAAATCGTGTAAATAGCGCTGCGTAGTGTATTTGCTGCGTACGATCTTTACGTGCAAGCTGTAACCATGGAGGTATTATTCAATAATACCTCCATGCTGTAACCATGGTTGTTGTAACTTGCATATAGGCCTATAACTGCATCAGCGGTTGTCAACAGAAGAGTTACAGCTATGGTTACAGCATGCACGCAAAGATTATACGCGGCGGATACCCTACGCGGTTTTATTTACACGATCTTTTGTTACTTTTTTCGCCAGTGACGTCACGATTAAATCGTATATAATGACCTATAACTCCATAAGAAATTGCCACAAAGCGATTTTAAGGTTGATTATATTATAAATGGCATATCAAAATTCCCCTCTAGAACAAAAAATCATTTTGCTAGTTCTCTTTTAAATAACTTAAAAGGATAAACCTAAAAAGGCCCTAAAAATGCAAAATATTGTTGTGTTTTTAATTCTAATTTCGTCGGAATTGATGAAAACTCCCTAAAATGTGCAATTTATAGAGGAAATTGGCCTACCGTAACAAGAAATGCGAGCAAAGAATTTAAGAATTCTAGGCACTTTCAGAGGATGCATTTGTCAAGTGGTGGGGAAAGATTTTCCAAAGATGGATATTTTTTCCTTGTCCCCCGGTGTTTTTAATTCTAATTTCGTTGGAATTGATCAAAACTCCCTAAAATGTGCAATTTTTAGAGGAAATTGACCCATGCTAACAAGAAATGCGCGCGAAGCGCGCGAAATTTGAGGTTTTTTAGGCACTTTCAAGGGATGAAAAGGGCATTTATAAAGGGGTGGGGAAGATTTTTCAAAGATAGATATTTTCCCCTTGTCCCCCAGTGGTTAAGCCATCGGGCAGCATAGATCAAAGGAGTTATGACAGTTTTTGAAGTGGAGAAGGGTTGCAGGGTGTTGTGAGTCTGGTCATTATGATATCTTCCTTTCTTGTCTTTATTTTTCTCTTCTCTTTTTCTTTTTCTTTCCTTTTCTTTTTTTCATCTTTCTCATTCCCTCCATCTCTCCTCTTTCTTTTCTCTTATTACCCAGCCCGGTACGACGGCTTGGTCAGCCAGGTAAAAACCGTCAGGGGAGGGGAAGTTTTCCCCCTGCCCATCCCCCGCGCCTGTTTATACACTGGCTAACACGCCAATCAAAAAACTTTTCTACGCCACTGTAAGTTGATAAAATATTTTTGTATTGAAAAAATGCCCAAGTCTAGGGTTTGCATCCCTCGCTAGCTTAGTAGAAAATTCTAAAATTGTTTACCAGTATACGTTTAAAAATTATATGCGTGTCGAAGCAAATTCGAAGCGTGACTTCTCAGTTGTGCGTAAGCGTAAAAATCTTCGTAACCATATAAGGTTAAATGCTTTAGTGTGCGTAATAAATATGTGGACTTTCTATAAATAAACGCGTTATAAACAAAATATAAAAAGAGGGAGACAAATCGCTTCTTGTTAATTTCTCTTTAATTCCAAATTATATTAAACACAGTACTGATATCAATAAAGATTTAAAATGATTCATAATGATTTTTAAAATTAATTAACTTTGAATGCAATTTAGAACTAGTACAAAAGATCCGTTTAAGTTTCTTATCATTATAATTAATATATTTAATATTATATGTATTACTGATAAGATTTTTATGATCGTTGATTTATAACAAAAGACACTCACAGAAACGAACAACGTAGTCGCAGAAATGGATGCGCACAGCACTCTCAGAAAAGGACAACGGAATCGTCCATTTCAAGATAGGTCAGCAAAATATCGCATCTTAAGGCTGAATGTAATTTTCTTCCTAAGCATAGCCTCCTCTGTAATACTTGCCTCTCACGATAACAAAAGCTAATTATTTTAAGCCATTTTCTCCCAAAACACCGATGGATAACAATTCACTGAAGGAGGCCGGAAGGCTTCTAAATCAAGCTGCGGATTTGCTGCGGGGTCAAGGTACTAACCCCGGTGGTGGCATCTCGCACACCATCACTAACGGTAGGGGAAAGTCATTTTCTGAAACAATTTCAAACCACCATGTGGTAACACTACTACCAAAGTATTATTTTTTAATTATTCATTGAAGCAGATATTCTATAAGTACTGTCGTATCTGTTATTCAAAGTACTGTAATATACAGTATAGGGACAGTTCTACGTAGGCATCATGATGATTTAAAAGTGTAGCCGCGTTAGTCTGCTATAAACAATATAAAATAAATGACAGCAAGAATAACTTGTTTTAAATTTAATATCTAGCTTTCGTCCATACGTAAAACTTTCATGACACAGGGCCGGATTAAAGGGCCGTGGGTCCTGCGCTGTAATTGCAAGTGGCCCGGGGCCTAAATACTCTGTGGCTAAAACATAAAACTAAATTTATCCTGGGGTTCGGGGAACTAATTTCCCCATTGCGGCCTCTGCGACTGTCGCCACAAAAGCCCCTTTTATGATAAACTGGTCCTGGACTTTCATCAGACGAATGGACTGATGATGTCCACAGTGTGTACAAAGAGATATGAAATTGTATACAACTTTAACCTTTTTTAAAGTGTTGCTGTAATTTCTTTTATACCTAAATAATAATTATATTATAGACTTTGAAGCCCCTATTAACATTACACCCAAAAGGCTTGTAAGGGATACATTCAGCATCGACTGTGGTCTCCCAATCTCTTGTAGACTAAAGCTGTATACGCCTTTGCAGATCCGCAGAATTTGGCCACACTAGGCGCATGACGCCATGTTGTTGAGTTACAAACATCGTGCGCGCGTATAAATTTTATAACACTGGCATGAACTTTATATTATTTAAAAAGTCACATTATTTTTTTTTCTGGAAATATTCTTAAAAAACAAAGCGAAGCGAATTTGTAGATGTTGGTCTGGCCCTATATCCGAAAACACCTGTAGTAGGAGGATCTTCACTTTCAAGCCGCTGCTGATTTTCTTCTTTTAAAACTCTTGCCGCTTCAGCAATTAAATATACAATTTCAAGGGGTACACTTAAATGTATTCACTCCCTACATATAGCATCGATTTGATGCAATGACGGATGAATCAACCCCTTCAACTTCTAACAAATGAACTACCTCTTTAAGGCGCAAATATATAGCTTTCTGATTCTCCTTGTCCACATTATGATAAGTTTGATCGTTGCGAATTTAAATTTAATTCGAAACGTTCGATTTTCAGCTGTTTTCGCTATTTTTTCACACATTTCTCTTCATAACTTTACTTCTACCTATCCGATTTTCGCCATTGTTCTTTTATCCTATTTCAAATTTAATAACAGTTATAGTAATCGTAATTTTAATTTTTTTGCCAAATCTCGTCGGACTTTTTAATTTTGTAACCGTGGTTTTTTTTAATTTTTCCCTGTAAAACCTACGGTTTTAGCAGAAATGTGGTGAACCGCCCGAAGTTTTTGTAGTTGCTCCGCCGATTTTCGGCATTGTTGTGGCAACATGTAGCTTTATTTATTACCTACAACATATGTGAAAATCAATTTGATTGGTTAATAAATGACGTCGGACTTGTTATTTTTGTAAAAATCAATCAGTAGCAAGTCAGTTTAGAAGCCAATGCTTTAGAATAGCGAACGAGTTTTCGACCGTATTGTCGAGCAGAAGGAGCTTAAATTTGGAGTTAAAATTTAGAATGTTATTTGCATTATCTTTAAATATTATTTTGATTTTTAGTTTGTGCATGTGTAGGTGAACACATAGATATATTTTTTAATGTATTTACATAACAAATATAGTAGTTATGACAGTATATAAATGACGATATTCTCCTCGGCGAAGCTCCGGTTTCAGATCTGATAATCAGACCATACCATTTTCAATGGGTCATGCAAGTGCATGGTAGAAGCATCTGTAATAAGCACATTTGTACAATGTTTAAAAAAAAAGTATACCTACTGAAGTATAATAATAATATTACCTTTTTGTTTATTATAAAGTACTATGAGCTTGCACCTACAACTTTATCTACATTCACACAAACTAAATACCCCTATTTTGCAATTGTACAATTCGCACGCTTCAACGACCAGCCATTGAATTCGCTTCGACGCGATAAGGGGGGATTATCAAACCCTACGCAAAGGCAATTTTGACCAACTGGGTGATCAAACTTATCCTAATGTCCCACCTGCCGCGCACCCTATTTCATTTTGCCTGCATAACAGTAACACAGCCCCAGAATTGTTATCCATTGGTGTTTTAGGACAAAATGGCTTAAAATAACGAGCTTCTCATGTATTGAGAGGCAAGCATTATAGAGAGGGCTATGTTTAAGAAGAAAATTACATTCAGCCTTAAGATGCGATATTTTGCTGACCTATCTTGAAATGGACGATTCCGTTGTCCTTTTCTGAGTGTGCTGTGCGCATCCATTTCTGCGACTACGTTGTTTGTTTCTGTGAGTAGGTTGTTCGTTTCTGTGAGTGCCTTTTGTTGTCTGTTTTTGCTAATACGTTGTACATTTCTGTGCAAGTCTAACGTTGTCCTTTACAGCGTGTGCGTTGTAGGTTTCTGCGAGTAGGTTGTTCATTTCTGCGAGTAGGTTGTTCGCTTCTGCGAGTAGGTAGTTCATTTCTGCGAGTAGGTTGTACGTTTCTACGAGTAGGTTACGTTTTTGCGAGTAGGTTGTTCGTTTGTAACTGTATTTTTGGCGGCGATTGCCTTCCATAGGAGACAAAGACGCGATCTGACAACCCTTAAAAATTCACTTACGACCCAAACTTGGGTTGCGACCCGATGGGTTGCCGACCGTAGTAAATTGGAAAAGAGCATGTAGGCGATCCGGCGGGGAAATAAAATGATATAATAGATATATGTTTTGTTATTATAACATATGTTGAACGTTAATAAAAAGGATATACATTGAACGTTAAAGAGGAATGTGCGAGTATATATGGTTGTGTAAAACGGAATTTGAACCCGAGACCATCCTGTCTATACAGACACTTTTAACAAATGGGCCATTGAGGCTTCTTTGGGAATTCAATTCCTATTAAAGCAACTGAGGCTTCACACTCTAGTGCATGCGTAGTTGGACATCACTAGTTTTTGATGCTTGTAAATAATGTTTTATTGAACTTAGTTCTGCGCTATTGTTTGGATGTGAGATGAAATAAAATAAATTAAAATTTGATAATCTGTGGTGAACGGATTATGAGCTGAAAATTTATTTATAAAATCAGAACTTCCAGGGCAGACTATCAGTCTTTAAGTTTTAATATGTATTTCAATTTACTTTAAACAAATTGTAGTTAACTGGAAATACCGAACATAATATAATTATATTTTAAGCATTTGTAAATTGTACGAAGAATATTATCTTAATGATAGCAAATGAACTATTGTATTATATAGTCGTCAAAAGTTTAACAGTAAGCTTAATACTCTAACTAGATGTTTATACACTTTAATGTAGTTGTTTATGGTGTTTGCTTGACGCTGCGGGTAAACACGTCTTGTCCAACTCTAAAAAGAAAATAAAATAAAATGGCGTGGTTAATCACTATTCATATAACTATATTAGTTTTCAAAAATTCGTACCACGGACAATGTGTTTCATGGACTATCTTAAGCAAGCTACCAAAATATCAATAGATCTATCCATATTACGATTTCGTCCCAAGACTGGAGGATATAAGTATGCGGGGTGGGGATTGGGCGATTCTTTTCTAGTTGGACTTCTCGAGATTCAGCGCACCTGGTTTCTTTTGGACGTTTTGTCTAAAATTCGGAAGTCCCTCATTTTCAAGAATACGTTAAAATAGTCTAGTGCGTTTGAAAGATCACCTGTTTGCCAACCAGTGTTCATTGCAGGTGGCCACTTCACTCGAAAGAATCCAGGTAGTTTTCAATACCTCTTGCCCATCACAGACAAAGCACTGACCAGTCCAGCTAGTAGTCGAAGTCCCTTCATTCCAATTAACCGTAAATCCAAAGGTACGATGTTTTCCCCCTGGAGAAGCATGCCCAAGAATGTGAGCGTACCCTGGCCCTGGTGAAAAAACCGAAACCATTAATAGCCCTGTTTAGACTATCAAATTTTATTTTATAAAAAAAAATGTGACTTGCCTAAATGGGTCATGATGTGATGTCATCATATAAGTACACCGTGACTATAGTATGGACATACACCATATTTTTTTTCAAATAAAATTTGATAGTCTTGGCAGGGCTTTAGAAATAAAACGAAAAAAAAGCTAGTTTACGCAGTTAGTCTTAAAGAGCTATCTTTTTACTCTTTATGTTGATTTCGTAATCATTGCCATCACCAGCGTAACGTCTTTAGCTTTAACAAATTCAGAAGAAAATTTAACAGTAAATCCTCATCATATTCCTCCTCTTAATCTTCTCTATCATAATTATTATTTTGATATTTAAAATACAGCCTGGAATCTATAATAATATTAATTCTACTTTTCATAAGTATTGTGTATTTTGACAAATATAGGATAAGGCGCACATACATCTCTGAAAACCTACCAGCGGCACCTTCCGTTGCTTCAACTGCTGTCATATATTTTCCGATCAAGTGGCCTTCCTTTGTCACATTTAAGGTAAATTCTGATCCGTGGCTGTTTATCCATGTTCCTTGGAGCCCACAAACTGCTTTAAAAATAAGATATTTTATTGAAATTAAATCATCCACCTTCTGCGAAATACAGAACCGTAAAGTATTATATGACTATTAAATCCATGTTAGTAAGTAAGTAAGACATATTTATTGCTTTCCATGAAATCATTACAAAGAAAAGACAAAAAATTGTCATGGTGATAAAAATAAATCAAAAACAAAATCAGAAAAACATCTTAAATGTACCTTCATTATAGGCATTAAACATGGGATGACCCCTTAAGCCCGACGACTTTTTTCAGAAAGGGTCCCTAAATAGTAATAATAATAATGATTATTAATTATAAAAACTGTAATAATAATGTGCGTTAAGTCGGACTTAAGGAGAATATCTGTTGTTATTTTTCCCTTAACGTCGTTTTTTTCATTGTTCTCTAATTTCTCCATTGTCTAAGTTCCCCTTAAGATAGGTTCTAGTAACATAATAATAATAATAATAATAATAATAATAATAATAATAATAATAATAATATTATTATTATTGTTATTATTATAATAAAAACAGAACAGTATTAATATAATTAACATTGACAATAACAATGATAACAATAGTAATAACAATGATGACAAGAGTAATAGTGATAATACCTGAATATAACGACGTACTTTTTGATGTTAAGGGAATAATCGTCAACCAAATAAAACTGATGGTTTGTGTTGCACTTGTTCATGCACATATTGCTTCTCTAATTTCATCATCAGGATTTTGATATACAGTACCGAAACTTGTCTGGACCATATGCTTTGCGTTTAACAACAGTCGTTACTGCACATGTCGATTTAAAACCTACCGTAGGCATACTTCCTGGAAGACCCATGCCTATGACAATGTATGTTTTCTACACTCATTATTATACATTAAAATTGCTTTGATAGTTTCCTTGCCTTTGTTTTTAGTAAGGTTTTCCTGTAGTGTGGATTCAGGAGATTTTGGTACGATGGTGACTTGAGTTATTTCCTAATAAGAAGCAATAAGGATTTGGAAATAAATCTGATAACTACTTTTAATACATTCTGGTTTTGTTTATTGTTGATCTTTTTTTTTATGACATTAAACAAGTGCTGAATCACTTACAAAATTCTCAAGTAAACAAGATTTCTGAATACTTCTGTTAGCAAGATTCATAAGATTTAGTGGAATGGTACATCTAAAAAAGAAATGATTAACTTTTGGGAAGAAATTGTCAAAGGTCAAATCACAAAAATTCGATTTTCTAACAATTTACCCTCGAGCAATAAAATAAATCAATGGAATCGCCTATGTATTGGTCGATCCAGGCACATGGCAGAGGTACGCACTTTATAGAGTTGATGACTGCTATAGTTCTGGATGTTTTTGCAGCAACCTATTCTACACATGTTTACATAATGGAAAGAAAAGAAGGGTGAGTGATGCTATTCCTTGGGAATGATAATCGATGGTTAAGTGGCTTTACTTTAAATTCCATGGTCGGTTAGGCCTATTAGTTTTGCAGTTATGAATACAATCCAGAAAGAAACAGAACTTTGGCATTGTAAACATTATTTATAGTTGCAAATTCTGTCGGTGTATGCAAACAAATAAGTAAATGCAATTTACCTGACTGTCATGAATCGGTTGGAGTGCATTGCGGGACCTTTCTTCTATTTCATATTTAGCTCGTAGACGCCGGTCAGTTAGAATATTCTGAGCTACATCGGCAATTGTTGCTTCAAATATGAGAACTATTGTTATAAAGACCCCTCGGTTCATGATTATTCCATTGGTTTTACCGAAATGATATAAGGGTTTGCCGTATGTTTGAGATAAACATAATGATTTTCATATTTAACACTGGATCTTATTTCAGGGATCAATATATTCCTAGGTCACAAGGGGTTAACACTGATATCATGCTGCAGCCAGGAAATGCGACCATATGGCCACATTGTGATAATATTAAATAGTGGCAACTGTGATAATAATGAAAAGTAGAGTGTGCAGACGAAAATGCAATACTTTAGTAC